TTTGGTGCCGTATTATTCCTTCTTATATTATTTTTCATTTGCGACCAGATTAGTTCGATGGGGTTAAATATACAATGGTACGGCGGAAGTCTAATCACCCTAAATCCACGATCTCGCGCCATAGCATCTATTTTATATTGTTTCTCAAATTTTCGAGTATGTAACACTTCTAATAATTGTGTCTTTGTGTAATTTTCTTCAAAGTATAAATCATGTTCTGTAAGGAAATTTTGAAATTTGAAAATTTTAACAAACAAAATTACTCTGAGTCCGGTCCTTCGCGTCTCGACCGTCCCGGGCACGTCGAAAAGGTCTTTTCAGGTAGGTATCGGTGAGCGGGTTTACGACATCCGGTTGTGACGGCCTATTGAATTATAATGGGAGTCAAATTGGTGTGAAGTCATAAACGCCAAATATGTTTGAGGATAGTATAAGAACAATGCCATATTTTGAACACATTTTAGTGTCTGATTTTAACTTAGCATCTTCGAAAATAATTTCACCCATGATTAAACACTCAACTGAACGACTGAACCCAATCTCAACCTCCGTTATAACCTTACATATTACATATCACTGATAATTTGCCATTTAACAGCTTTCGAAATTGTCAGAAGAACGTTTCAAGGCAATGTACGTCACGTGGTGTGCAAAGTAGACAAAAATTCATCCACCGGAGTAGCACACCATGTCGTCTTGTACCATGGTGAGAACATGACAACAGTGAAAGAAAAAGTAAAAGCGAAAATAGAAATAAATGACAATGACTGTGTAATTTTAGCAGGAGATTTCAATGCCAGAATAGGAGAAAAATGAGGAAGAATAGGCAATACAAAAGATAAAAGTGAAAATAAAGAAGGATAGCAACTGTTGCATTTAGTTGAAGAGAAAGGATGAGAGATCTTGAATTGAAATAAAAATCGCAATGATGAAGACGAATTAACTTATGTAGGACCGAAAGGAGAATCAGTTATAGATTATTCAGTTGTGGATGTAAATACTTGGGAAGAACTTCGTAGGAAGGTAGAAATTAGTGTAAGAAGAAGTGAAGGAAACAACAATGACTGAGGAATGTTAGGTCTTAAAAAGAGGAACAAGGAAGACATTAAGACTAAGGAAAACCCAAAAGATAGCAAGAGAAGAGTTCCTGAAAGTTAGAGAAACCTACCTATATGTAGAAGTAAATGCAAGTAATGAAGGAAGAAGCACAATAGATAAAGGAAATTAAATCAAAGAAAGAAGTATAGAAGTACATTAATAAAAACAGAAAAAAGAAAGAAACTGTAAGCGAAAAATTTGGGATGCAGAGATGAGAAAAACATATCATGGACTAATTTTTGCGAATTTTTAAGTGTATTTTAGGAATATTGTGTAGATTGTACACGCTAACAAAAATTTGTCTAAACTAAATTGCTGATCAAAATTTATTTCTTTATCCCTCCCAAAACCTTAATGGGTCATCTCAAAATTTTGCTGCAATTCTGTCTACAAATGTTGCGGTTTCCAATGCATTTGCATTTTTTACTTTGAGTGTAAGCTAAGGAAGTATTGTAATAGGTAGCATAGGTAGTAGGTAAACCCTAAAGTATGACAAAACAGATCCTCCATTTCCGTCCGTCTGCTCTGTTCATTTTAATTAGACAGATACACAATTGACAACTTTTATATCTATGTTAGCAATATTGTATAGAGAGTAAAATTCTAAGCAACATTTTTCTAATCATCACAAAGTAGTGACATCAGTACAAAATGTTACATAATAAATATTCAATTTAAAGATGAAAGAAAAACACTTTATGAGTTTAAAATATATTTTTTTATATTTATATTTTACATACCTGACGAAGGTACAGTACAGTGTACTGAAACACGTGTTGTATCATTATTCATCACACAATTAAAATATTGTTACGAAATACACCCTTACGCCGTCGAGAACTCTCTGGTCTTACGCCGGTGATGATTCATCCTCAATGCGACTGAGCGACGGAGCGCTAAAGAAACACCTGGACACGGAAGTCGCGAATGGGGGTTCCGGAGGAGTCTAGAAGCGGTGACGTAGGGTTTCGAGAAGGATCGCGTACTGTTTAAATAAAGTCAACCTTTGGGGAACGGATTATTCAGCTAGTTGGGTCCAGACAAGTTACGCCGGCGTTATTTTGTACATAATCGCTGTAATAGTTATTCGTGTAAATTCGAGTAGAAATAAATTGTTGAGTTTTTGCCTGCGCCAATTTCAATCACCCGTACAACGTAACAATATTTTAAACTCATAAAGTGTTTTTTTTTCATTAATTTGATTTAATGGAGTTTAAACAAGTAACCGTCACATCCGTACAAATGTTAATAAATAATGTTATTTAAATCTATAAAATGACATACTACTACACTTGTGGTTTGTTAGTCCGAATTGATTTTTTAACCTATAGATCCAGATTTTTGAAAAAAAAAATCAAAATTTTGTAAAATTTGGCAATTTAACGTTGAAACTGAAAATCGAATAATCTGAAATCTTCCATACGTGTTAAGGTTATCATAAGCATGATAAATCTTTAACAAAAATTTATCAGTGTATCCGTTTATCTATGGCTGCCACCCCCCGATCCCAACATTGATCTCAAAATTTTCCCTGAAAATGTTGTGTCTTAGACCAATTTTTAGAATTGTTTACCTAATTTTCCTGAAATTTTAAATAAAATGCTGTCGTTACCAGTACCATATTGTACCCATCCAAATTGATATATTTGATCCTACTATCAGCTGTACTGTTCTGTAATATACGTATTTGTTTTATTCAAGTGTGTATTTGTACTACATGTAAGAACGAAAGACAAAACTGATCAAATTATTCAGTTTTATAAGAAACTGATAGAAGCAGGACTACAGAATTGTCTTGACCAATCCCAATATAGATATGTGATAAATATTCACATTATTTTAATTTCAGTGAATAAAACTGAGATCTTGACTACGATGCTAATACATCCTGTTAATTAACCTGAAATCGTGTACATCCCGGGATTACAGAAATACTACCTGTTTTATTTATTAATAATTGCAAAATGTTGTTATACAATTTTGATATTTTTTTCAAAAATTAAGGAAATCTTAAGACGGATTCATAAACAACAAGTGCATGAACATTTTATTTTATATAGTTTAAAAAAGATTTAGATTTGTAAATTTTGGAGATGTCGTCATCCCATTGTTGGTGGGGATGTTTATCCAAATTTTGGTTAGCGTTTTACCATCTACACGATATTATTTTTAACATTTATATAAAAGTTGAGAACAATCGATCCAGTAGTTTCGCAGATTATTTCTCCAATAACAATCGACACATAGACAGACGACAGACAGACGGAAATGCAATGTGTATTTTTGGTACTCAATTGGTATTATTTTATGAATACAGATATTTTACTGTTGATTTTAATTGTTTATTTTTTCATATAATCATAATTTAAAAGTCTTGTATTTTCATTGGATAAATTTGAAACAACTAAAAATCCAATTAAGATGAACGGAGAAAATTAACAAAATAATCAAAGCAATAGTTTATGGTGCTACAGGATGGTTAATACCTCAAAGTAGTACATGATCGTTTTTTTGGAACCGTGTAAATTGAGTTTTTGGGCTCAACGTTTCGCACACTTCTTTTCGCCTCTGGTATGGTTGACATACTGAGTTACCGTGCTCTTTTGCTTTATTCTTAATCCTGCTCCTGAAGATGCCACTTACGAAAGTGTGCGAAACGTTGAGCCCAAAAGCTCAATTTACACGGTTCCAACCCGGAAAACGATCATGTATTGATTCCGCCTGTGGAAGTCTCCGAAATTATTACCTCAAAGTAGTGTCTAAAACAGCTTAAATTAGCATAAAATATACAAAATGTTCAACAATTATTCGTGTATTTCTTTGATATGCTTTAACTGTTCGAGGACAACAACTCTAATTTTTAATGATTTCCCGACAGGTTCTGAAAAATTAAAATTTAACCATGGAACAACAGCCACCTTTTCCAAGTTCAAAAATCCTGAAAGATATATGGGATACGCTTTTCAAAGATCATTCGCAACTATTCTTTGTAGTCCTCAGCGAACATAAAAGGTTAACTAGACGAATCAGCTGCATAAAAAAAATACAGCGAATGGAAAATTTCATGAACGAATTCGAAAAATTATATCCCTAGAGAGACTTATGACATGACATCTATTTGGAGGAGATCTTTAATTGGATGCTATGAACACAGCAGTCGATTTTGACGTTACAGTTAGTACAACCGATTTTCCAAAATACTATTAAGTAGTTTTAATATCAATCACCCAAAAGTTTATACGATAAATAGTTTATTAAAGACACATGCGTGCATTTTTCAAACATTGTATATTACCTTCACCAGTTCTAACGGTGATAAATTATCCGTTGGTAAAACTTTAGTTCGAAACTTAGGTTGAGGTCTTCATATTCCTGTTTAAATTTTTGATAGGCACATTTGAAATGACTAGCACTTAGTCGACAACTACGCACATCAACAATTTGACTTCATGAATACGGGGCAACATAAATTCAATCATACTTATCTGATGTAGTAGGTAATAGTCCAACAATCGCCGTTTCTGGAATGCCTCTAATGTTCCCAAACTGTGGTAAATAATTTACGTATTTGTACCAGAATTTTCAGGGAGCAAAACAAATTGAAGTCACCTGCAGGATTCCCACGCATCGGCTCCTAGCAGTGACGTCACGCGGCGCCAGACGTCGATATTCTCCAACCGCAGCTATTGGTCACACTTGTTGTCTCTCACGATAAATCAAGATGGCGTCCCTATTTTGGATTTACGATAAGAATAATGCTCTTCTTTTATGTGTATTTTCGGCAACAAAAGAGATTAGACGTTAACACACGAGTATTGGCCAAAGCAACCCATTTTTAAAGATAGATAACGTTGTGAACAAAGCTCTCGACTTAGGTAAATATTTTATTTCTCTTTATTTACAATAATTTACAAAATCTCTGCTTAGTTGAGTATTATTAATCTATGACTAGTTTGGACTAGGTATAGTTATATAAAAAATAGGAATAACAGTAACAAGAAACGAAAAGTAACAAAAATTCATATAAAAGGAAGTTTAGTCGGACAAATTGAATGAAGAACTACTGCCGTCTTTATTCGTTCTTGGATCTTCAGGTATCCACACCTTCGCATGCATAATCCCGTTGGAGTTGGGCTCTTTCGTCCTGGACCAGGATAAGGAATGTGCTGTGTACAGTCCACCAGCTCCTGGAAAAGAGCACTAGAACTTGTAATTCGTTTTACACCCCAAAATTAAAGCATTTGTGCGCATCGTACAGGATACAGCTGCTTTGCGTAACGAATTACGATTGTCAGGGTGCTATCATACCTTGATGGTATTATTGAAGGGGCGGAACACCCTCTGACCTACGCTCGATCAATCTAACCACGGGTTTCGCAGTGTCATTGTATATCGATAAGATCCATTCACACTTAATTACACACTTGTTTTTTTTATTTCCTCAAGTACCGCAATCATTTGCTCATTATTTTAGTTTTTTTTAGAACTGACCTCTAACGATGACCTTTTTCGGCTCGTCCTTCTGAGTGTTCCGGTTGTGACCGTTGTAGCAGTCCGTGTTGGAGTTCCTGTCAGTCCTGACTAGTTCACTTAAAAAGTTTATGTATCCTATCGCTAGTTTTAAAGTGTCTACTTTGGAAAGGCGCTTTTCGTAGGGGAGGGTGGGAATGTGAGCCCTGAGACCCTCGAAGGCGTCGTTGATCGACTGCATTCGTTTTCTTTCACGTAGATTTGCTGCCTGTCGCTGCTGTATTTGCTGCTGAGGGCACTTATTTCTTCGCCTGTGTCGATGGAGACGGCCTCTGTAAATTGAAGCGACAGTCAGAAATGAAAAAGCGACATACTGTACAATTCTGTTAATGTTTTAATTTTTTAAGAGATTTTTGTGTGTACCTAATTGTAAAAACAGAAACGCGGCCCCAACACAAATAAAAAAACAAAGGAGAATTATTTTTAAACTATGTAAACAAGCGGAAACTGTAAACCCAAATTTGCGCATTCTGCGAGCTATCATACAGGACCTGTAGAAGTCAAAAAAGAAAAAAGAAAAAGTCTGAAAGTATGACCACATCGGAACATTATGCACAGCAAAATTTACGCAGAGTCTATAAATTGCCAGCTGAATTCATTTTATCGATTAGTGTTGATAAGGAATTAATTTTTTATCGGATTAAAATTGATCACTGTTAACTTATAAAATATGCAAAAGTTAAAGTAAACAGACAACAAAACTTATAAAAAGTGAGCTTCATTAAGATTTATTTTTATTCAAGTTCTAACAAAAATTCAAAAAGAGGGGTGGGAAATATTCATTAATTGCGTAAGTTACGATAAATAAAAAAAATGTCGCTTCATAGTTTATGGATTTTGTTGAAGCGTTATTAGAATTATTAAAAGTGTGTCCCAATGGACTTTAGGTTTATTCTGTTTTGTATTTGAAATTTTATCTTTATACATACTCGTGCAATAGTTACTCCGTTCAGAGGTTGAAGAGTATGTTTTTTTGTAGTGAGTGTTCAAAAATACACTCTAAAACAGAAAGTAATAATCTGAAAAATTCCAAAATCAGTTAAAATACTTATTCATTATTATTTATTATCTTAAAACCGATTTTCTGCAGGTTTTGTGTCAAGATTATTATGTTAATCATAAAACTTCCACATTTAGAAAAAGTAATATAAAGTGTGCTATCTTTTGGATAGAGATAGAGATAATTATAAATTTTATTGTTACAGGTTTATTTGCCTTATTACACCGATAATGCAAAATTACAAAAAACTGTTGACGTGTTTCGCCAACTATCTAGGGCATTGACATTATCTAGGGAATATTAACCTAAAGCGGAATTATAACTACGCTAGTTTATACTCTATCTACATTACTCCTCCCACTTTCCCCTTCCCTGCCTCTACAAGAACGTAAAGAGACGACTTCCGGATGGGCCCACGATCTGAACTCATTACACAGTCTTTATTTTTGAATATTTCTAGACTTTCGTGAATTATAAATTAACTGCAGCAAATCGATATTCATTAATTATTATAGCAAGGAAAGAATCTCTACATGCTATCCAAAAGTTTGTATAATGTACAGTAATGATACGATTGGGGAAAATTATTTGCCTTGTTGACTGTTCATACTGTTAAAAAATGGTCAAGTTGATTCTGCTGTCTATTTCCACTGATCTCAGTGTCAGGCAGTGCGTTTTTGAAATGAATTATTTTGTTTGACATTAGTTAGGTGTTTAACTGTTTTTCTTTTACCAAATTTCGCATTGAACTCTTAATTCTTTAGAAATTATTTCTGCAAATATCATAGATTAAAATGAAGGTAAAAAGTGATTTTTATTTCCCGAACCTAAACTAAAGAAATAATAATATAATTAATAGCGTTCATTCGGCAAACGATTACTTTAATGTTTTCTAGACGTTATATGACTCTTATAGTATGAAAAAATAGATCTCGTTTTTGTCTGTCTGTCGTCTGTGGACTATTGGCGGTTGTATTAGACGGATATTTTTGAAGCTATTGGGGTGATAGAAATTTTATATATATTTTAGGAATATCGTGTAGATGGTAAAATGCTAACCCAAATTTGCATCTCAAAATTTTGCATAGTAAATTCTATTTAAATTTTATGAAATAATATTTTATAGTTGTTCCTTATGAATTCGCCTTGATTTTTTACCTTAGAGGCCTATATTTTTTAATTTTTCAATTTAACTTTGAAACTGCAAAACCGAATACTCTGAAATGTGGCAAACATTGAAGATTATCGTAGGCATGGTAAAACGCTAATCAAAATTTACATCTCTCAAAACTTTGCTGGATAAATCCTATCTGTTTAAGAAAGTGTATTTGTTTGATTGTACTTCAGGGTTGGAGGAAATTCTGTTTAAATAACCTTACCACTTTTCAAATGTGATATCAATACAATGCTGTAAATATAAACTGTACAACTTTTGCTCTACCATATATACCAGTAAGAACTGTAATATTATATGTTTAGGTTATAAACTCTCATTTAGGAACCCAGGAGTGTAATTTCCTGTGTACTGATCTACGCTAAACCTCCATTTTATATTCCAAAGTTCCCACATTTACATCCCATTTATATCGGAGAACCTCGACCGGAGTTAAGGCGAGGGATTAAGGCACTCCAAGTTCTAGGGTAATGAGATATGAACTTGGACCGGAGTTTATGATGACTACGTCATATAAATTGGCGATCACCAACGTGCTAGTGCACGTTTAGATTATTCTACAGATTATAGCAGCTTCACGAGCATTTCGTACTCTAGAACTCGACAATTCTGCGTATAGTTCACACTTCATAGGCTTCAGATTATGCAAGGGGGAGGTCTCATGTGCTAATACATAGCGCGTAAAGTATGAATTTGGTTGATAGGAATACATTGCAATACATTTTAAGTTTGTTAAATTTGGGCAGTCACTGAAAAACACTTAAGTCAAAATTCACGTCAGTCTTAAGAATAACGCTCTTGTTTTTGTTACTTTCACGTTTTCTCAACCTTTTATGGTCCCTAGAGTACAAAAAAAATAGGTCCCCGTTTCCGTCTACCTGTCGTCTGTCTATCTATACGTCTGTGGTCTGTGTCGATTTTTATTAGACAAATAATCTCCGAAACTACTGAGCCAAAATTTTAATTAAATACTTATTAATTGGGTTATAAATAGCAATCCGTTAATTAAAATTTATTGATATCTTCTAGAGAGTTGATGATGTTATCTCAAAAAACTGGTATAAAAATGAAAAATGATTATTTAAAAATTGGTCCAAAGTTTTTTGGACAAAACTTCCCTCACTTCTGAAATTCCGCTTTTTTGAAAAATTATAAAATCTAATTTTGCATATGGACAAATGAAATATATTTAAAGCAGATAATCAATACGAAAAAATGTATTCTCAATTTTTCAGTACATGCCTAGCCTCGAATGTTTATATTTATAGCACATTCAGATCACAAGTATCAGAGGTGGCATTTATATTAAAAGAAAATGAAATTTGATGGATTTTGTCTCCTCAATGCAGATGAGAGGACTAATTAATTAAGCGCAGTGGTTTTTTCCCGAAGAATCTGAATGTCTAGCATAAACACTTAAATTTGAAGAACATTTATTATTATTTATTAATTAACTTTTGATTAACAATTTACCATGCTGTAAATAATCTTAAAATGTTCAGTTTTGCAACTTCAAAGATAAACTGTGAAAATTTGCTATACCATTTTGATTTTTTTTTTGTACAAAACTTTGGATGTCTTCCACACGGATTCATAAACCATAAGTGTAGGATAACGTCTTGACATTGTTGGTAAGGATAATTACACAAATTTTGGTTAATTTATATGGTTATACATATCAAATTTGAGAACAATCGATCTGGCAGTTTCGAAGATTATCTATTTAATAAAAATTGACACAGACGACCGACAGACAGATGGATGGACGGACAGACGGAAACGGAAGACGCATTTTTTCGTATTCTAGGGGTAATGAAACATCGAGAAAACATGAAAGTGGATAGCTTCCAGATGGATTTATTTACAACACATTTTACAATTTATTTAGCTTACGCTCGAGAAGTAAAAATTTAGTATAACCTATGATTTTGCTTGTACTTCCGTAGTAGTCCGTCCTTTTACGTATCTTATATTATCGATTATTAATAAGTATTATTAGTATTATCGCAGAAATGTCGTGTTTAATTTTTCTGAAATTAAGAGGAAACAACGATATGTTTAAAATTACGCATTGCATATATTAAACTCAGTATATTTATTTATTTTATAATTAATAACATCATTTTAACGGTGTATTTCAAACTTTTTTAATTCCGGAGCGTGAGTGAAGAAACTACATATTGTAATAGTTTCCATCAGGTGACTTTCATGTGTTCTCGACGTTTCATGACACCTAGAGTACGAACAAATTGGTCCCCATTTCATTTTGTCTGTCGTCTGATATTTATGTCGTTTTTTCAAAAATTGTCGAATTTTATATATGCATTTTAGGAGTATCGTGTAGATCGTAAAACACTAACCAAGTAGTCATCTCCACCAACAATTTGATATTGTCTTCTCATCATTTTGGGTAGTTAAGGTTATCTGAATGTTATGAAATAATATACTGCTGTACACGTGGTTTATGAATCTGCCTTGATTTGTGTCACAGTTATATTAGACGTAAACAATTTAACTCCCATTATAATTCAGTAGGCCGTCACAGCTTACTGATAACCTACCTGAAAAGGTCTTTTCTGTAAAAAGTACAGGACAGTACTGTCCCGGCCGTCCCTAATACGTGGCATAGTTTGCATTTGCTAAGTTTTATGAAGGGTCGGCTATAAAGTACTTTAAACGTCAAAGCCACAAACTCACTAAATGTTTGCGTCTAGTATAAATGCTTCGTAATTCAATAGGACTGATGTTTCACTGTGATTTGTATTATCTATATATTTTTACTTAGGTATAGGGGTTATCATAAAATAAATAAAATTTTGCTAAATCAAAATTTATATTATTTTTGAAAAAATAGGATTTGTTCGATTGTATTTAACGGGCGAGGGAAGTTCTATCTATTAACCTTAGACCAATGTTTTATTTGTGCTGCAATATGCTTTTAATTTTTAGAAACTCATATACACAATATCAGTAAGTTGCGTTGTTCTGAAATAGTATTAACAAATCTTTACTAAAAAGATACACTATACTTATATAGGTAACTGTTTACTTTTTAATATTAAATATCTCTGGAGCAGATTGTCTAATTAAATTCTTTAAAATTTGAAAATAGAACCACGTTATGTTTAGTGTTATACCATACAGAACAAAATTAATACTCCCTTCTACAAAGGTGATGACGTTATTTTTAAAAATTATTATGTCAACTTTATTCGAAATTTGTGATTCAATACTCTACTTATATTTTTGATACTCGTAATACTCATGTCTAAAAAAAATAATACTCCTATGTGGAAAAGTAACTTCCCTTTTCAGTTATTTTTGAAAAAGTGAATATTTCAGTGTATCAATTTAGATTTGTTTACGTTTAACTTTAGTAAGTATAAATAGACTGTAAATAAGATATTTATTACTCTTTTTCAGCATAAGCTAAGGAAGTATTGTATTTTTTAATAGGCGACAGGTCAGTTTCATGTTTGCGCGACGGTTTATGACCTCTAGACCGACTGTTGCCAAATTTTATAAGTATATTAGGTATATCATGTAGATGATAAAACTCTAATCAAAATTTATCTGTTCATCCCCACCAACAATGTGATGACGTCACCTCATAGTACATAAATGTTTAATTTAAATTTTATAAAATGACGTACTCCTACACGTGTAGCTAATGAATCTCTCCTGATTTTCCTAAAAATCCAGAATTTTAGAAATAAATCAGAATTATGTGTAACAATGTTTTACGTTTAGGGTTATCGTAAACATTAATGAAATCGTTAATGAAAATTCATCCGTTTATCTTCTTTGTTATGACGGCATCTCAAAATATTGTCGAATGAATCCTATTTAAAATGTGCAAAATATATTATTGTTAGATTCTTCCAAACTGATTGATATACGTGTCATTGCTAAGATATTGATGACGTCATTATAAAATTTCTTGCCACAAATTTGTTCCGACATATTATTATATGTTTTTTTGATCAGTCTGACAACTTTGTCACACAGTACTTCCCGTTTTTTTAGAAGTAAATATCAGGTGAAAAGATTTTTAATGTTACAAAAAATATATGTGTTTAATCTGAATATAACAAAAAAGGAAAATCGGCCTTGCGGCGGGTGTCGTTGTCAACATCATATTTTCAACGATGTATTTTGTATATTTTTAACACTATAAAAACGGATACATAAAATATCTAAAAAAAAGTACAAAACAATCACGAAAAAGAGAAATGAAATTTGTTGAAAAAATCCAGAGACACTAAACCATGTTTCACATCATATAATAAACAATTTGTTTTTTTTTAATATCGATTTATTTAAAATAGTATGCAAAGCTTTTAAATTGGCTTTTGATAAAATTTAAAGTAATACTCGTAAATAACATTAAAAGATGTACTTAATAATCAAAGTAACAAAAAACTAAAAACTGCTTGTGTTTTTAAAGTATGAATTTTTGGCATTAGTAAGTTTTACGAAGAACTAAGATGTTTTAACAAATTCGTAACATCTTGTACACTTTATGCCACATGCGAGTAAATTTACCAAGTATGATAAATCCGTGATTATTTTTTTACAAAAAAATTGTTAAAGAAAATATAACGTTGTTGCTATATAAATTTGTTTTACTTTTCTTCATCTGTTTGTTTTTGTGTTTGAAGGTTAAGATTAAACGTAACTTTAATCAATACATTATGTGCAATTGTAAATTCTACCGAGGAAATCGGAGATATTTATAGTTTATTAGATAATATTTTTCTAAAGTTTGCAAAAAATCTACTCACTCTTTTGAGCCCGAACTGTTTTCTTGATCGCTATTGTAGGAATACGAGGAACCAACGGAATCACTGCTATTCTCATCATAAAGAAATAAATCACTACTATTGGAGGATCCTGTTGTGCTACTTGTGCTACTAACGGCACTATTTATGTAAGGACTAGAGTCGAAAAAAAACTGCCTGTTGACTAGATCTATATCAATATTTTCCATATTAAACATTTTGTCGCCAGTTTTTCTTAAAAAAATTGCACTCCGACTAGATTTGGTTAATTTGTTTTGCTATAATTCTCTTTCACTTTGTACAATCACAACGTTAATAGTCTTGCTTGTTGAAAAATTCATCACTTCACGTCACTGTTGTGGTTAATTAATTAATCGGTTGTAAAGCGTCGTTTTGTGTCTGTAACAAGACACGCGTGCCGCCACGTGTCGTTTGTATGAGAGACACGTGTCTCAGACGACTGAATACCCGGATTTTTGGCAGTGTCGAAGGACACACGGAATATCAGAAGCTCGAAATGAGCTTTGCGGATACGCCGGCGCTAGGGGTGGTGCAGGAAAGCTCCGCCCACTAACAGGATAACAAAAGCTCGTCTATTGACCAAATAGAGCTTTTTTATTCGCTTGGAAATAAGCAACAAATATCAAAATACATACGTATGAAAAGCATCTGCATAGAGGTAGAATATGTAGGGCAGCTTTCTGCTCAGTTTGCAGAAAAAAGGGCTACATTTACACAATTATAAGATTTGAACGTAATTTAATAGTATTGAAGTTGTGGAATTGAAATTACTGCAATTATTGTAAGCCAAATGAGGGTGTTTTCTGATATTTTTTTGTTTTAGTGGAAGAAATCAATTACGTACAGGCTTTTGTGTTTTATTAAATATTTAGTGCCCTTTTCTGCAATGATGATGATATGACAATTATGTAACAGAATTAATATTATTTTAGCATAGATTGCTATTCTTTAAAAAAAAAGAACATTGAATGAAGGAAATAAACGCCAGGTGGATAAAGCAACATAATAAAACGTTGTTGTCTTTGCTCCTCTTTGAAACGCTTTAAGGCACTAAAATCACTGACACTGTACAAAACAAATTTTTATTCGATCGTGTCAAAAAACGATGGTTTTCAGTTTGAACTGACACTACTAGTTTGAAAATATTTTTTGGATTAATACCAAAAATTCTTTCCTATAAAGAAGAGCTAATAAAAAATGTTTCACATGCATAATTTAGTAGTATATTATTTTTATTTTTGTTTCCATCCGGATTTCCAATTACAACTTCTGCTGCTGAAGCTCGTGAGGTAGGTGCAGAATTAAAAATTTTATTGCTATGTCTGTCTTGTTACTTATACAGTCATCTACATACTTACCATTTGCCACAATCGATGATCGCCAGCCTTTATGACGACCGAAGTTCTTCGGAAACTATGTCCTGTAAATTCTTTTACAGATACAGATATAATTTTATGAAGGCCCACAACCCGATTAATTTATCTGCCGTTTCATTAAGACAAAAAAATCTATTTTTTACATCCATTAAACAGAGAAGAGCATATTTGTTGTAATATTCTCTATAATTTCCTGTAACCACAAATAATCATGGTTTCTTAGTTTTATCGTAAGGTATTTCTATTAATGACCTAGATCTTAAATTTCCTATATAATCTATTGTCACGTGAGTCAGTTCTTCTGGGCAACTCCACATATAAAACACAACTCCAAATATAAAAACTATCTTTAGTAAAAATAAATTAATATTAACAATTTAAATAAATAAATAATGTCCTATTAGCTTACGATCTCCTCTGGTCATCTGTCGAGGAATGTTTCCAAGTGTTCTTGAGATATCACTCTTGACTTTTTTGCGCAATATCCATTATGCCTAGTTCTTAAAAATGCATGTAACTTCATGTCTTTTGATATATCAAACCTGTGCTTCACGATCTTTATCATGGATGTTCGATACCCTTTTTCGTAAATTTACACTTTAATTCCTTGGTTACTATATATACATATTTCCATATTTTCGAATTCTCTATGATAAAGGTATTATCGGACGATAAAACACGCTTTCAACTTAATTTTTTGATCAAATTGCGCGCGGAACTTAACAACAGACTTAAGAATGAAAAGGGTGACATTACAATTAAATATCTGAATGGTGCACCTGCCATTGTTAATACCCAATCAAAAAACTAAATTCTCACAACTATCACGATTTTAAAACCTTATATAAAGTAGTCCAAATGCTATAAGGTTATATGGCCATCATAAAATTATCCCATGGCGTCGAAGTTAAGTTGTTTACAATAGAAAAGGTTTTAGGGTCGTAAATAACGTGTCTATTGCAGCGCAACCGGCAAAAAAATATCTAAATCTAAGCAAGAAATGTTTAGAAGCCGATTTATTGCCACACAGAGGGGGTATTTATTTGCGGTCAACTACTTTTATGATGGTCATATAACCTCATAGATCTTGAAATACTTTACAAACATTTATTCTCTACTATCCAAATTGACGAGCTTTGCGTTCTAATGGATTCCTCCAAGCCGGCCTGTATGTGCATCACCGACACCTGGTTTAACTCCTCTTTTCCTAATGTATTATGTCACATTCCTGGTTATAATTTGTACAGAGCAGATCGTTCTGACAGAATAGGTAATGGAGTTTGTATTTACCTAAATAATAATATATTTTCTTCCTTTCAAATAACTTCTGCTGCTTGTTCCGCTGGAACTTCAGAAGCTCTTGTTCTGCACTGTGATTCTAAATTGTTATCTATTCTCTTAATTTGCGTTTATCTTATTCCTCTCCCGTTTCTGATCTTGAATCAGCACAGTAGCATTGTCATATTTGGTTATTTTAACTATTCATCTCTCAAGTGGCTTTTGCATGGTACTTCTAATACCCATTCTTGTAACCACTTCTTGGACTTCTTAAATAAAAACAAGCTAGTGCAACTCGTTGATGTACCGACCCGATTTAGACCTGGTCTTCTTGACTTGGTCCTAACTAGTGATCCCGATATTGTCACTGCTCCCGTAAATTTACCCCCTATTGGTAAGTCTGACCACACAGTTCTTGAAATCAAACTACAAGTGCTTCCTACCCATTGCCCTGCAAAATCTTCTATACGTAGACAAATTATTAATTACCTCGCTGTAGGTAAAGAGCTAAATTGCACCGACTGAAAACTAGCTTATTCAGATAATGATGTTACTGGGTACTGGGATTATTTTTTAGGCATCGTTAGGTCAGTGGTTTTGAGAAACTCCTCCTATAAAAACTAACCATTTTCCCTCTCAAGATATGGATTGATGGCTATGTTCAAACGCTGATCATAAATAAACGACACCTATGGCACAAATTCAAACGAACTAGAAACCATGTCGACTACATTGAGCATCGAGCCGTTTCTAATCATTTGTCGCTATTGATTAAAAACAAAAAAAATCGTATATCGAACAGCTTGTTAATGGTGCTAATCATAAAAAATTCTTCAAATATGTTAGATCTTCATTAAAAAGTAAGGTATCTACGCCAGTTTTAAGAGACAGCAGCAACTCCAAAATAATCGACAATCCACATTACTTTCGACCAATCGTTGATCGAGAAAAGTCAAAATTCTTTTGATAGGTACTTCTTGTTCTCCTGGTCCTGACGGTCTTTCCGCTGTTTTACTAAAAAAGTGTTCCAAATCTCTTTCCTTGCCTCTGCCCCTTTGGTTCTTTTGCTACGGGTGTGTTGCCCAAGGTCTGGAAGACTTCTGCAGTGACTCCTATTTTTAAAAAAGATGATAAACATAATGCTAGCAACTATAGACCAATTAGTTTGACTCCCATTGTTGTCAAAATTATGGAACGTATAATTGCCACCCTGTTAAGAGCCTTCTGTTGCGATCATAATATTATTCCCAAAAAACAACATGGATTTACTCCTGGGAGATCTGTAACCACTAATTTATTGCTCTGCGTCGACGACTGGACTAAAATGTTAGACAATAAACTGCCTGCTGACGTGTTCTACCTTGATTTTGCCAAGGCTTTTGACCATGTACCCCATTGTAGACTTCTGTATAAACTTGAGCACCTCGGAGTGCGAGGACCACTGTTGGACTGGCTATCCTCTTATTTAAGAGGTCGTATTTTTCGAGTACGAGTCAGTAGTCATCTGTCTGACGAAGCCGAGCTGTATAGCGGTGTCACTCAAGGTTCGGTTATCGGTCCTTTACTTTTCCTACTAGATGTATTTGATCTGTCTCTTTGCATAAAATCGAGGATTTTTTTTCGCAGATGATATGAGATTGTACTGTAATCTCTGCACCTCGTCTCAGCAACTACAAAATGATCTTGACTCCCTAGCTCAATGGTGTGCCAATTGGTTATTGGAAAAAATAATCCTACATTTAGTTATTTTATCAACAACTTAAAACTAATAGTAGTTGATGCGCATGTTGATCATTACTAACACCTTGTCCTGGTCTCCACACATTGCAAAAATTTGTAGCGAAGCCAAGTCTGTTCTGGAGTTCGCGGGTCCTGTGTGGGGTGTGGATTGGGAACACGAACCGAGCTCTTCTGGAATCTGTACAACGCCTGGCAACTCGTCTGTCTTATGGCCAGAATCGGATGCCTTAGAATGTCAGGTTAAACTGATTTAATTTAACTACCTTTGATCGCAGACATGCGTGCGGTGACTTAATCATTATTTATCGTATTGTTCATAAATTATTTGCTTTATTTGTATAAACACTTGAACGAATCATATAATCGTGTTTTCGATTCGTGGAATAACGTACCTTGACCCACTGTTTCGGCACTCTCCCTTAACTCTTTTAAAAATCAAATTAATAATCTCTTCATGTCGAACATTATAGATTGTTTTTTTGTTCGACCTCCTTTCTTTAATGATAATGGTAATAATAATAATATTCTAAATATGGAAAGAAAGATAGTGCTTGACATAAGATGATACCATTTTGGGATTTTCTAGTTAAGGTTTACAGTTATCTTTTACTTTGTATCAAATAAGAAAAAACACCCTATATGATCTTTTGTAAAGTGAGAATGGGAACTAATCGAACGTAGGCTGTTAAAAAAATTATTAATCATAATTTTTTTGTTATGCTACTTATTTGCTCTAACCTTTATTTCTTATTTCTGAAGAAAAAATGAGAGAACGGGCGGGTGGGCTGGGATAAATTTAATTTTTTCCAACAGAATCTTTTATAAGCAAGCAAAAGCCCCGCCCACCCACCCATTCTTCATTCCCGTGATTACTCTTAATATTGTTCAGTACTATCTTAGCAAGTTTTAGCCCCACCCACCCACCCTTTTTTTTCTTAGAGGATATGTCATTTACCAATAAATTGCATGAGTGTCAATTTTTCAAGTTACTAGATTGTCATCAATAAATATGAATTTTTCGTGTATT